CTCTGGGTGGCCCACAATAAAATAGAAAAAACAAATAAAATACTTAATATAAAACAAAAACACATAGCAACTGAGCATCATAAAATAATTACTGTGATTGACACAAGATCACAATCCATTATTTATAGCACTCCCAGTAGGATCAACCATCAACAGTAGAGGAACAAGCAGTGAAGAAATACACTGCAGATTAGCATTTGGTAGAACAGTCGTGAAGGCCTTGGAAAAGATATTCAAATGCTATGATGGGTCTATACCTATAAAGAACATAATTGTGCAAGCAATTGTATTCCCTATGACACTCTATGGAAGGGAAAGTTGGACTTTGAAGAAGCAGAATAGGAAGAGCATTGACACTTTTGAACTTTGGTTTTGGAGAAGACTTCTGAGAATACCGTGGACAGCCAAGAAAACAAACAAATTGATCATTGAACAAATCAACCCAGAGTTCTCTCTTGAGGCACAAATGACCAGGCTGAAATTATCCTACTTCAGACACATTATGTGAAGACTTAGCTCTTTGGAGAAGGCACCAATGCTGGGAAAGTTGGAAAGAGAGAGAAGAAGAGGACTACCAGCAGCAAGGGATGGACTATGAGTGCACCATTGCAAGGTCTGAAAGACCAAGTTAGGGACAGATTGTCATAGAAAAATTCTATCTATGTGGTTGCTAAGAGTGACTTGATGGCATGTAATCAATCAGTCAGTAGGATCTTCCCAGGCAATCATGTAGATTTATAAGAGGGAAGGTGATCTATGAGGGTATGGGAAGCTGAAGTTCATAGGTATTACTTCTTTGGGATGTACCTGTGCTATGGAATAGCTTCCTCTGGAAATTTGATTGGCCCCTATATTATTGGCTTTCCATTAATTTTTGGACACCCTTCAGAGGCTCAAGTGTTAGTGGATTCCTTTATAGATGGTCCTCGCTTAGCGACTGCCTTGTTCAACAACTGTTTGAAGCTACGATAGTGCTGAAAAAATAACTTTACGACCAATACCTGCATTTATGACCTTTGCAGCATACCCTTAGCCATGTGATTGCCATTATAGTCAGTACACGTCCTGCGCCTGACCTGTTGTTTTTCTTTTTTCCCCCCTTGCAGAGCAGAGAGATTGGAGGGGAAGAGATTACAAGAGAGTAAGCAGGCACACAATGGGGAATATACACCAAAAGCGGTGTCAGTGGTGCCAGCAGCCCCCAGCATGCTCAGGGGTGGGAGCCACAAGCAAGCCACACAAACAGCCCAATGTATTTCCCATTGTGTGCCTGGTTACTCTCTTGTAATCCCTTCCTCTCCAATGAATGTAAATACAAAAATTGATTCCCTTCTTGCTAATTATCCCAGCACTGGGGTAAGCACTCCAAGAATGGGGGAATGGGGAAAAGGAAAGCACAGTCACGGTCATGTGGTTTCCCACTTAGAGACTGCTTCACTTAACGACAGAGCTGCCAGTCTCAGTTGTGGTGGCTAAGTGAGGACTACGGTACTGTTTTATTACTTGAGTATATTAACTGTAGTGTGGTCATTTTATTGTTTTGGGTTTTTTGTATTGAGAACAGCTAAGATCTTACTGATTCTGGCAAGAACAAATTAATTAATTAATACTGCCATCTCTAATACCTTATCCCTTTGAAAAGTTGTGAATAGACCATAGCTGTCATAAATGTCAAGATGGGTTTTTCCACCAAGTTGCTTGTTTTAAAGTTGCTTGGAGAAACCTTACTGATTATCTGTGAGTTTGATCCTTGTCCTTTGTCACTTATGATATGTGATGCCCAGCTGGGTCCAGGAAATTATAAATTCCTCCTTGATGAGTGGGATAAGCCATCCTGTTTGTACAAAAGGGGTAATTAGGCCTATCCAGGATGCAAAAGATCTGAATTATAGGTCTTCCTGATAAAATGCTTAAATCAACAACCAACTCCAGACAGGTTTGGACGAAACTGGTAACCTTGTGTTTGAATTTTAACATCGTATTGCACACAGACTGTCTTTGAAAATGCCAGAAACTTTAGGTCTGTTGAACCTAAAATAGGACAGTGAGATGGTTAACAGGAAGTGGCTGATATTATCATATTGTGCCAGGACTATGCCTCGTGATACATTTCAAGTTCATTTCCAGACTCAGTTCAAAGTGTTAATACTTCCCTTTAAAACATTAATGAATCTGAGGCCATGGTCTCCCTTCACACATTCTTGCCCAGATGTTAAGATAGTCTTCAGAAGTCTCCCTCAAGATGCATCTGCTGAGAGATGAGATAGATGGCTACTAGAAAAGGCCTTTTAATGCTCTCTTTATTGCCAGAGGACACTTAATTTCCTATCAATCATTCCAATATCCCTACCCTCAGAATACTTGAACAAAAGGGCAGTTCTATGCATTTACAGACCAACATTTTTGTACTGCCAATATATTTCTCCATATACAATTGCCAGATCAGGATTCACATCAGAGCAATCAGGTGAACTATTTTCTTCATTACATATTCTACTTTGCCTAGGACTGAATAACCCCCGTTGCCATTCACGTTTTAAAATAATGTATTAAAAAAAAAAAGAGAGATGAAGAGGACTTAAGGAAAGTTTGTGGAACCATTGGTTTAAAAGCATGTGTCAGGATATTGTATTATGTACTGTCATGTACCCTCGCTGTTGTGGGGGTCATTTTTCATGTTTTTTTCCCTTCAAAATGAATTTTATTCATGGTTTGGAAATATTTTTTTTCTCCTCTGTTTCTTTATAGATTCCTGAGGTAATGTGACTAGATAGAACATGGGGAAAATACAGCATAGTCACTTCATTAATGTTTAAACAAGGAATCAAATTAACTTTTACTAAATAACTTAAAATGGGTTACAGATACAGGTGTTGATGCAGCGATGGTCACTGGCTTCAAATGGCAGAAGTGATTGGATGATCAAAGGCATGCATTAAAGAGGGACAGAGGTTTGATTGCCCAGCTGCAACCACCATTTTGAAGCCAGTGAATACTGGAGATGCCTCATTTGCAAACAGATCCTGTTAATACTACCACATATCTATCCATAGGCTCCAATAGGCTACTAAATATACAGTATATTGTACTCATAAACTGTCCCTCTGCGGTTTTCCTAGGGCTAGGATTCACAGCTTTCCTCAGGTCTATCATTCCATTCACACCTCCCAAATCCTTCCCTCTGGAATATAATTTGGAGGAGGAACCCTGTACTGCCATGTTTTGATTGACAGTTGTAACAGCCAATCATCACATGAACCAAGCCAGAATTCAGATCTGGGCTTCATGGGGTAATCCTATGCTATGGGTGTGCAGAGAATACCTATCTCTTGTGGCAGGGAGCAGTGTTAACTTTTTTTGTTTGAACCCATCTGCCCATTTCGTAGCTGTAATTTCAGAATCCTGATAAATTAAGGCAACCTGCCAAATCAGATATTTCAGTGATCAAATTACAGGAGATCCTAATTGTGGCCCCTTCAGCCTATTATAAATGGTATTAATTTCACACACTGATTCACCTACAACACATTCTGTGGGGATGTTTTCTTGCAAACTCTTCATGCTAATTAGCACCAAGATTTTTTTGCTGGAGTACAGCAAAACTGCAAATGACACTCTGCCACACAAACACCAGCCATATCATACCTAAAGCCATCCAGACTGTTTGATTACAAGTCAGACTGTCAAATCGGTAGTAAAAATACAGTTTGTTGTTGTTGTTGTTCAGTCGTTAAGTCGTGTCTGACTCTTTGTGACCCCATGAACCATATCGCGCCAGGCCTTCCTGTCCTTCACCGCCTCCCCGAGTTTGCTCAGCTTCATGCTCAAAAAATACATTAGCAACCAATAATTTGGGCCCCATTTATATTCAAAATCTAATGGTAAGGCTCACTCTGACGGTAGTGATTGTTATACATTCTTTTGCACAGCCACTGTCCATTTACTTCAGTTAGGCTGACAGGGAACTCATCCGGCATAGCTAGATTTTTAAAGCTTGAGAACTAACTTAAGCAGCTCTGAGTGTGAAGACCTCATTTGAGAACAGTCTGCTTGCTTGGCAGTCTGGAGTTCTCTTTGTCAGTGAGAATCTTCCTTGCTTGAGAACATTAATCAATCTTTCTTCTAAATGACTTATAGAATGGGCACCTTCTCCTGATGGGCCATGCTCAAAGTGGAAGCAAAAGATGCCATATGTGCGTGTGTGTTTGCATGCGCACACATTTATTGCTAAAGAGAGACGACGTCTTTCTTGCTGTACACAGCCTAGGATGCCTGGGCTGAATTATTTACTTATTGATATACTCCTACTTACTCTAAAATTTTGCTCTGCCTTCCATTCTTATCAGCAGAAGCACTCAAGCATTCAAGGCCACTTAGTATTTCATAATTTGGTTGGTTACTTCTCTGAGACAGTTGAATCAGAGGAACAGTATTCTTCCTCCTCCCAACTTTATTTACATGATTGAATTTGCCACACACCACACAAATGAAAACAAAGACACATCCTTTTAAAAAAAAGGTTTCTTTATTCAATAATTATACCTTTAGCTGAGTTTAGCCATTATACAGCATATACATGAGGGGTGAAAGGCTGAGGGGTGGGAGTTCTTCCATTCACCACTTTCCACTGCTTCTAACTCTGCCAAAAAGGCTGCAAAGGACATCTTTTCTTCCTCATGTATTGCAGGAATTAGTGGCTTCGTGGCTTGGAAATCCAGGATTCTTACTTCTACCACAGTAAGGAGACAGGGCCTGTTTTTGGCAGCTTGGCAGTGGGCATGATTAGATGAGACAACTCAGATTGTGGGAAAACGTGGGCAAAGCAGGGAGTCAATTGGTGATGCAATAAGGGTGGAGCAGTGGGCATTTTCTCCGGGGAATGACAGACACAGATAAATAACAAAAAAGATTCTTCCCTCCACTCCACTGCAGGTAAGGAATAGCTGGTTCCCAGACAATGTGTTCTCTTGGCCTAGGTGGGCTAGGCAGCTATACTTTCTGGCCTTTTTTTTTTTTTTTAAATCCTGGGCCCTAAAGGATGCAGAGGGCACTAATACACCTACAGTTGTAGCCCGCAGTGCCTCAGAGAGGCAGAATCTCTCCACACCTTATGCCTTGGGGCTGGCAGGAGGGAAACAGGAAGTGCCAGCAAAAGGTCCCTGCAGGACAGGAGACTCTGACGCTGCAGGGACACCGTCGCTGCTTCAGTTCTCGGGAACTCAGCTGAGAGCTTCAACTCTGGGGTGGCAAAACTGCCAATTTATTTATCTGTTTGTTAGATTTATTCCTTGCCTTTCCTTCAAGGCTCAAGGCAGCTTCCATGGGGATCTCCTGTTATTTTATCCCCACAACAGCAACCCTGTGAGGTAGGTTGGGCTGAAAGAGAGTAAATGGCCCAAAGTCATCCCATGAATTTGCATGGCTAAGGGCAGACATGAGCCTGCTTCTCCCTAGTCCTAGTCCAACACCTTAACCGCCATACCACACTAGTTGTCACTGGGTGACACCAGCTCAGAAGGGAAGGAAGGAGGCTTTACTGGGGTTGCAAGTTGGGGTTCCTTGGCATCCCCTTTCCCTGCTGGGTGAGGACCTACTTTGGCTTGCTCCCTACCCCCACTGAGGAACTACCTGGACCCCCAAATCTTTTTCATAAAGCAAGGCAGCGCTGAAAACTGTCAGTGGCTCATCTGGAGAGTGGGCTAGCTGGCCAGACACAAGGTCCACGCAGAGGGTCTCATCAGGCTCCATTGGGACAATGAGAGTGAAGACTGCCAGAGCACCAGCGCTTGGCTGGCTCTCGGCCACCGGTTTGTTCTCCAGTCCTTCAGGCTGGTATCCAGCTGAGTCGCTGCGGGCAATAGCCTTATTGGAAAGTGACAGGACTGCCTCAATCTTCTCACCCCTGTGCCCAGTCAAAATTGCGCTAACCAGATAGCGGCCAGAAACAGGAGCCGTGAAGATCCCTGTGGGGAGAGAAGGCGAATTACGACAGAAGAATCACTGGGCAAAGGGACAAATTCTGCCTTTCATCCTGGCTTACAGAGTGCAAAGTAGTGCACATTAGGAGCTGGAGACAAAGGCTTAACTCCAGAGACGGCTAGGGGATGATCTGACAGAGACTGACAGGAAAAAAGCTTGAAGAAGAAAAATCCAGGGAAGATAGGACTATTATTATCATTGGGTCATAGTCACAATGGCAATATGCAACTTCAGGAGTGGGGCTGGCATGCTGAATTCTAGTGGCTAGGGCACCATAGTGAGCAAAGATTGCAGCATTCAGGTCCTACCCGTGGGCTTCCCAAAAGTATCTGGCTGGCCACTAACCTTCCATGGGAAATAGGATGCTAATCAGGTAAGTCTTGGTCTGATCCAGCTGCAGGCTCCTTCATACTCCAGCCCATTCCATACATTCTTTGCATCTTACATTCACTGACCTGTGTTTGGGTTATAGAAATTGCCATCGTTCACCAGCTCCTTGTCAAAGATGATGGTTCCAGTATTGACATGCCAGGTTGTCAGAGCTGCTGAAAAGGAGACTTTGGGCACTATTCCAGCTGGACCGGGTGGGCCTGCAAGAGAATTGAGAAGGGAAAGAATCACCTTCTGCTACTTGTTTCCTTCTCTGCCTACACTGTCCTGATCTACCAGCTTTTCAATTTAATCACACTGATCCATTTATATGAAACATGGTAACCAAAACTGTGATCTCCCCTGTCTTTCATAATCCATGCAACAACCTGTAAATATTCTCCTCTGCTCTCCCCCACTGCCCCATCCCAACCACATAATATTACAGAAACAGGGGAGATGAAAGAAACTGGCTGAAAAGGAAACTTCCATTATTTATCATAGTGCAGTAGTAAAGCACCTGGTTTGGCAAAAAAAATACAAGCCGTGCCACTACCAGCCAGGGCTGGGAAAACCCTTTTCTGCTAGAGACCTTAGAGTGCTATTGCTACTAGTCAGAATAGAAAATACTGAGCTAAATAGAACACGGGTCTTAGTAGTGCCTAGATTCAAGCCTTGAGTTTCCTCCAAGGATAAAAATTACTTCTCTTCCCCATCCTGTTGTCTGCTCTTTATTACCTTGTTTTCCAGGGAGACCTGCAAGAGCAAAAAAGAAGTCAGATGAATACAGATATGCCCATGAGATGGGATGAGCTATAATGCCTTGCACTTATTATTGGATATGTCTTCCTACTTACTGTACAGTGTTGGTGGTCAACATTGCAGGTCAAATGAGGAGAAAACCTGCCCTTAGAAGCACCAAGACAGCACTTAGCAAGGCCTGGATAAATTAATGGTTGAAGATTTGGCAATTGCCATTTACACATTCTGCATACGCACAAGAGCATTCTGGGGCAATTCTTCCCAGTATCATCCTAATCTAGACCTTCCTTGTTTTTGTAAGCCTTACTGCCACTGATATCTGTAGGCAGCACCCACTATCAAGAAATCCCCAATCACAATTTCCTTACAGGAACATCTGCTTAATCCAAGAACTGGGCCTGTTGCAGCTGTTCTTCTTCTGTCTGAAGATCATTATTTGGGGAAGTCCCTGAGACTCTTCTCTTATCACTAACATATTTGGCAAGGATGACAGTGGAAAGAGAGGGAATGAGAGAGTTTGAAGAGACACAGCATTTGCTAAGCAATAAAGCTGATCTTCCTGGGAGTGAACATCTGCTTAATCCAAGAACTGGGCCTGATGCAGCTGTTCTTCTTCTGTCTGAAGATCATTATTTGGGGAAGTCCCTGAGACTCTTCTCTTATCACTAACATATTTGGCAAGGATGACAGTGGAAAGAGAGGGAATGAGAGAGTTTGAAGAGACACAGCATTTGCTAAGCAATAAAGCTGATCTTCCTGGGAGTGTTGTGTATTGAACGTGCAGGCTACAACAGCTGAACTTAGCCAGTTTCTCACCTGGGGGTCCCTCGGTGCCAGTTTTTCCATCCTTGCCAGGAGGGCCCATTGGACCTGGAGGGCCCTGTTTTCCCATGGGGCCTGAAGGGCCTGGAGGGCCTGAAAGTTAGAACATAGGACAGTCATTCTAGGTAGCATCTCATAAGAAAGGGGAGGACGGTCAGGACATACTGTGCCAAGCTTGATCCCTACCCCACAGTCAAGCCATACTACTACTACCAGTCCATCTTTCCCCATCAGACCTGCCAAAGGTACCTGTGAAGTCCTGCAGTGTGAGGTCATGCAGCTGACCATGCAGGGTCTGGAGGGAGCCATTAAGAGTATTGAGATGGCGGTAGATGGTGCTCAGTTGACTGCCATGGATCTTGTCTAACAAGGTTCCGTGGCTGCGCAGAGTCCCGTTCACTTCATGAACACAGCCCCACAAAGCCGAGATGTGCTTGTCCAGCCCCTCCTTAATCTTGCGCAAGCTCCCTGAGACATGGTCTAGCTGTTCACAGGTGCCCTCCAGCTTAGCAAGTCGCTCTGCCAGACCCCCAGAGGCCCTCCGACAGTCTGATGCCTCCACCTGTAGAGTACCACTGAACCGGTGGATCTCATGACCCAGGTCCTGGAAGCGCGCATCACTCTCGCCCACATGCTCCGTCACCTCCTGCTGTACACGGTTGATCTCTGTAATGATGCGGTCCTTGGTAGTGCCCAGTTCATGGATGTCTGTTGCATGCTTTTCCACTGCGGCTTGCAGTCCAGCCAGCGTCTCATTGAGTGAGCTGAAGCCCAAGATCACCTCAGAGAGCTCTCCCTGCAAAGACTGAAGGTGGACACTGGAGCTGCCGCCAATCACGCTGAAGCCATCCAGAGGTTTGGAAGCCTCCACTTCCTCTGTACCCAGTTCTGGTTTTTTCCCCACTGGCTGGCAAGCTGTTTGGCAGGCCTCCACCTGCTCCCTGAGCTGCCCCATTTCTCCCCATAGCTGAGAGCAGGTCTGGCTGCAGGGATGGTGTTCCAATCTCTTGACCTCTTGCTCCAGTTTATCCAAGCGCTTATTGGTGTGATTGGAATAATGTATTAAATCTGGTGGCCCTGCACTCATGGAAAACACCACCCGGTTCTCAAGCTCGCCAATTTCTCCAGCCAGCTTGCTAAGAGCTTCGCTATTTGCTCCCACCAAGCCTTGCAAGTTCCGCAATTTCCCCGACACGTCGAGCTGGTGGAGGTTGGAGCCCAGCAACCGCAGCTGTCCTTCGTTGTCCAGCACGCGCCGCTCCAGGTCGCTTAGGATGCTGCTGATCTGCGAGTCCTGGTTGCCCGGCTCGGTGCAGATTTGCGTGCAGGTGTGGACAGAGACGCGGACCCGCTCCAGCGCCCCCTGCTGCTGCAGGCTGCTGTCCTTCAGCCCGCCGACGTCCCGCGACAGGTTGGCCAGAGCTCGGCCCACGTGGCTCTGGAAGTCGTTCAGACGGGAGAAGAGGAAGTCTAGCTGCCCCTCAGCCCGGCGAAGCCGTTCGTCAGCTCCCTCCAGCATGACCTGCAGGTCCACCAAGTGCTCCTCCAGGCTGCGCTGCGTGGTGTTGACGCGGCTCTCCATCTCAGTCATTCGCCTGTCCACGCTCCAGGGCGCCTGCGGCTGCGGCTGCGGCCGGCCTCCCACGTGCTCGTTAAGCGCGGCCACCGAGTCGGAGACGGCGTCCAGGCGGCGCTCCAGCTCGCCCACCCGACCCTCCATCTGGGGGCAGC